GGAGCTACTTCTCCTCAATTTTACTATTTATCTGGCTCTGCCCCCCCCCCTGTCACCTTTATCAAGCCTTGGCCAGGGGATCCGCCATCTTCTGTTCCCCGCCTGTTTAGGAAATACAGAGACAGCTCCTAGGAGATGTCCTGGGAGCCACCGGCTCAGCCTGCCTGTCCCCCCCCCCATGGACCGCCCCGGGCCCCTCTGCCCGTCACTTACTTGGCGTCCAGCCTCTGAACCCTGTCTACCATTTCCTTGCGCTGTGGACACCGCACACCTCCTCCGGGAAGTCTTCCTGGGTTGGGCCAAGCCCCGCTGTCTGGCATGCCGCTCCCAGGGCTCCGTGGAGCTGGGTGTCAGCTAGCGTGCGTGTCCCTGCTAGAGAAAGCCACGCCCCTCCCCGGGCCCTCAGGAGCCCTGCTCCTCTGAGGCCCTGTGTGGGCCTGGACCAGGCTAAGCCAGTGTTTGTTGAGTGGCTCCTGGTAAACACATGTGACCTCACAGAGGTGAGGGATGGGGAGAGAGCTGTGTGGGTATCCCAAGGTGTGCAAGGAAGTAGAGGCTGTGCAAAGGTCCTGGGGTAGCCCGGCTGCGTTCGAGGAGCCACGGTGAGGAGACCCGGGGTGTCGGGAACAGAAGGAAGCCAGAGCAGGGTGGCGGTGGTGGGTGGCAAGAAGGGGGGCCACCCAGAGGGGTCTGGTAGGGGAGACTGAGGCTCAAGGCAGGATGAGGTTGAGGCGGGCGGGCGGGCGGGAGGAGACCTGTACCCATGCCATGGATAGGAGTGGAGGCAGAGGGCTGAAGTGCCCGGGGCTCAGGCTTTAAGCCCAGCTGGTGCATGAGTCATGAGGCCCGGGGCAGCCGGGCTGGCACCGTGGGCAGAGGCCCTGAGAACAGAGGAAAGGTCCTGGGCCGGGGCCTGCACTGGGCAGGACGGGTGGTCACGTGACCGCCCCCCCCCAGCCCTGGCCGCCAGCCGCGGGGCGGGGCCTGAGCTGCCCCAGACCCTATAAGGCCTGCGAGCCCAGCACAGCAGCAGCTGCCAGCCCCGGCCTTCCCCACGGGAACCCCAACGCGGGCCGAGCTGTGGGGGTCCCCCACGTCTTCTCTGCCTCACCCCTTCCAGTCCCTGAGATCACCACTATGTCTGCTGGGGAAGAAGGGAGCCGGGGCCGCCCCAAGTCGAAGGGCAAGGTGAGCAGGAGGGGAGAAAACATGGGGGTCAGAAGCCGCAGGTGAGCCCCCGTTCTGCTCACCCAGCCTCTTCCGTCCCCCTGTCCCCCCCCATGCAGACCCTGAGCAGCTTTTTTGGGTCCCTGCCCGGCTTCGGCGCTGCCCGGAACCTGGTGGCCAACGCCCGTGGCTCTGGGAAGGAGGCCCGGCCGCCCCCCGACCCCACGGCCGCGCCAGCTCGGGCCCAGGGTGAGTGGACCGAGCCATGGGGGCCGGGGGCCTGGGGGTCCTCGGGCTGGCAGGACACAGGCAAGCCTGGCCCTTTGGGAGCTTGATGCATGCTTGGGTGGTCTCATCAGTCACAGCAGTGCCCGATGGGGGAAACTGAGGCAGGGATGGGTGGACAGGCCGGTTAAAGTGGAGGGCTGAGCCCGGCGGTCCCCCGGGAGTGTGTGTATGGGAGCCCAGTGTCCAGAGACGGCCAGCGGCTCTCCTGGGGTCACACAGGAGCTGGCTGGGACAGGACGGGCCCAGGATGGGCAGGGGAGTGGCTTCCGTGGGGAGCCCCCCCTGTGGCCCCCCCCCGATCTGGCTCAGAGCTGCAGGCAGCTGTCTTGAGCACCGCAAACCTCGGGGACACACAGCCAAGCTCTGCCTCAATCACCCCAGGCTCGGTGGGCACCCAGGGCCCCGAGGGGAGAAGGTCCCTGGGGGAGCTGAGCCTGGCTGGCGGCCGCGGGTGCCACCCTCCGCTGTCCCTGGCACGGTGGCCGGGACATTCCAGGCAGTGATGCAACGGCCCCCGGGCAGCGGGGCCTTTCCTAACCGCCGGTGTCCTCACAGCGGCCTCGGAGCCGGAGCAGGTGGCCGGGGAAACGGAGAAGCTGCAGGGGCCTTCGAATGAGGTGAGAGGCGGCTTGGCGGGAGCTGGGCGTGGGCCACGAGGGTGGGCACCCACGCGCGGTGTGGCGCGGCCTGTTTGTGCCTCTGGGAGATTTGGTGGCTCCTGCTCCTCTCTCTCTCTCTGGGCCTCGGCTTGCACATCTGGGAAATGGGCACAAGCTCCATGCTCCAAAGAGCCTGATGTTCCCCTCCTGTCCAAGTCAGTCTGTGAGAAAGAAATAGCTCATTGCATCCTAGACACCCAGAGAGGCTGAGACACCCACCCCGAGTCACATAGCAGCACGGGCAGGACCTTGGTTCTAGATGAGCCCGGCCCTGCAGAGGGGTGTGGCAGCTGAGGGCCACATTCTGGGGGACAAAGCGCTGGGAGGGTTGAGGGTACGGCCTGCACCTCACTCTCCACTCCATTTTGCCCAGAGCACTAGCTGGCCAGGCTTCCCAGAGAGCCAAGTACGACTGGGTCACCCCAGTTGGACTCCCCTGCTTCAAATCAAAGCACCCCTCAGAGGCCATACCCTGCTCTTCTGCCGGCACGGAGCAGCCGCCGCATTCCAGCTCCCCACTCTCCTCAAGGAGCTCTTTTGTGTAGGGATGGGGTTTGAACTCAGGGCCTGGAAGCTTGGGAAGCAGGCATTCGCTGCCTTGAGCCACCCCCAACCAACTAAGCCACGCCCACAAGAATCCTCACCCACAACCAAACCACACCCACAAAGAAAGCCCCACCCACAACCAAGCCCCACCCACACCACTGTGGCCAAGCCCCCCAGCCATGGAAATAACTTTTGGATACCCATGGGACTAGAACTGGGCCTGGGCACCATCCCTGAGCTTTTATTTTTGGCGGGAGGGGTCAGTTATAGGGCTTTGAACCCTGGACCTGGGCGCTGTCCCTCAGCTCTTCAGCTCAAGGCTAGTGCTCTACCACTTGAGCCACAGCGCCATTGGAGATAAGGGTCTCAGGGATTTTCCTGCCCGGTTTGGCTTTGAACTGGGATCCTCAGAAATCAGCCTGCTGAGAGGCTAGGATTGCAGGCTGAGCCACTGGTCCTGGGCTATTATTTTTTGAGCCACATCCCTATCTACCAAGCCACGCCCACCAAACAATACATTCCTCATCGAAGCCACACCCCCACTGCTGGAGTCATTGGGTTTAGGTCCGGTGAAGGCTCAGAGAAAGGATGTGGCTTGTTTGCTGCGAGTGAGGAGAGCTGGATTTGAACTTGGAGAGAATTCCAGCACCAGGCTGAGGGGCTGAGTCATGCTCCTGTGTGGTGACTTTCTGTTGAATGCATTGTGTGTGTGCGTGTGTGTGTGTGTCACCAGTCCTAGGGCCACACACTCTTACTTAGGTTTGTGTTCAAGGCTAGCACTCTACCACTTGAACCACAGCTCCACTTCTGGTTTTCTGGGGGTTCATTGGAGATAAAGGCTGGCTTCAGACTGTGATCCTCCGATCTCAGCCTCCTGAGTAACTCAATAACTGGGATTACAAACTCGTGCCTAGTGAGTACATTGGTTTTAATAAACACTAAGCCCAGATGGCTCAACACCTCGGGAGCAAGAGGACAGAATGGCCGGGCGCGGGTGGCTCACTTCCTGCAACCCTCGCTACTCAGGAGGCTGAGATCTGAGGGATTCTTATCTCCAATGAACCACCAGAAAACCGGAAGTGGCGCTGTGGTTCAAGTGGTAGAGCGCTGGCCTTGAGCAAAAGAGCTCAGGGACAGCTCCAGGCCCAGAATTCAAGCGTCAGGGCTCAGAAGAGGGACATTTGGGTCAGCTGTAATGGTAACTAAGAATGCCGTGTCTTGGGGTGTCAGGGTCCCCTATAGTGAATGGAGGGCACTCAGGGCTCAGCTGAGGGGAGTCGGGCCCCAGTGGTGCTGGCGGGAGTTGGGCCTGTGGGTGGCGGGTGGCAGAGGCCTGAGCCTCCACTTGCTGCTGACCGCCCTGCTTCCCCCTCAGCTGACCGCAGCGGCCCAGGCCGGCTCCACGATGACTCGGACCAAAGATGCCCTCTCCTCGGGGATAACCAGCATGCTGGACTCGGCCAAGGGTGTGGTCCAGGGCGGCCTGGACACCACACGGTCAGCCCTGGCCAGCACCAAGGATGCAGCATCTGAAGGGGTCCTGGGGGCCGTGGGGATGGCCAAAGGGGTGGTGCAAGGGGGCCTGGACACCTCCAAGGCTGTCCTCACAGGTACCAAGGACACGGTGGCCACCGGACTCTCGGGAGCCGTAAACGTGGCCAAGAGCACCGTGCAGGTGGGCGTGGACACCAGCAAGACCGTGCTGACCGGAACGAAGGACACAGTGGCCACCGGGCTCACGGGGGCTGCAAATGTGGCCAAGAGTGCCATGCAGGCTGGCATAGACACCAGCAAGACCGTGCTGACCGGAACGAAGGACACAGTGGCCACCGGGATCGCAGGCGCTGTGAACATGGCCAAAGGGACAGTGCAGACCGGCCTGGACACCACCAAGTCTGTGGTCATGGGCACCAAGGACACAGTGGCCACTGGCCTCATGGGGGCTGTGGATGTGGCCAAAGGGACAGTCCAAACGGGTCTGGACACTTCGAAAGCTGTCCTCACAGGCACAAAAGATACAGTGGCCACAGGGCTCACGGGGGCCGTGAATGTGGCCAAAGGCACAGTGCAGACCGGCCTGGACACCACCAAGAGCGTGCTGACCGGCACCAAGAACACAGTGGCCCCTGGGCTCACAGGAGCTCTGAACATGGCCAAAGGGACGGTGCAGACCGGCCTGGACACTTCAAAGGCTGTCCTCACGGGCACCAAAAACACAGTGGCCACGGGGCTCACGGGGGCCATGAATGTGGCCAAAGGGACAGTGCAGACAGGCCTGGACACCACCAAGTCTGTGGTCATGGGCACCAAGGACACAGTGGCCACTGGACTCACAGGGGCCACAAATGTGGCCAAGAGTGCTGTGCAGGCTGGCCTGGCCACCAGCAAGACCGTGCTGACAGGAACGAAGGATACAGTGGCTACCGGGATTTCAGGGGCTGTGGACGTGGCCAAGAGCGCTGTACAGGCTGGCGTGGACACCAGCAAGACCGTGCTCACTGGAACAAAGGACACAGTCAGCAGTGGAGTCACCGGCGCCATCAATGTGGCAAGGGGACAATGCAGACCGGCCTGGACACTTCAAAGGCTGTCCTCACGGGCACCAAAAACACAGTGGCCACAGGGCTCACGGGAGCTGTGAACGTGGCCAAGAACGCCGTGCAGGCTGGCGTGGACACCAGCAAGACCGTGCTGACCGGCACAAAGGACACAGTGGCCACTGGGCTCACAGGGGCTGCAAACATGGCTAAAGGGACAGTCCAAGCGGGCCTGGACACTTCAAAGGCTGTCCTCACGGGCACAAAAAACACAGTGGCCACGGGGCTCACAGGCGCCATGAATGTGGCCAAGAGCGCTGTGCAGGCTGGCATGGACACCAGCAAGACCGTGCTCACTGGAACGAAGGACACAGTCAGCAGTGGAGTCACCGGTGCCATCAATGTGGCCAAGGGGACAGTGCAGACCGGCCTGGACACCAGCAAGTCTGTGGTCATGGGCACCAAGGACACAGTGGCCACCGGACTCACAGGGGCCACAAATGTGGCCAAGAGCGCTGTGCAGGCTGGCGTGGCCACCAGCAAGACCGTGCTGACCAGAACGAAGGACACAGTGGCCACCGGGCTTTCAGGGGCTGTGGACGTGGCCAAGAGTGCCGTACAGGCTGGTATGGACACCAGCAAGACCGTGCTGACCGGCACGAAGGACACAGTGGCCACCGGGCTCACAGGGGCTGCAAACATGGCCAAGGGAACGGTCCAGACCGGTCTGGACACCACCAAGTCTGTGGTCATGGGTACCAAGGACACAGTGGCCACCGGGCTCACAGGGGCCACAAACGTGGCCAAGAGCGCTGTGCAGGCTGGCGTGGCCACCAGCAAGACCATGCTGACAGGAACGAAGGACACAGTGGCCACCGGGCTCACGGGGGCTGTGGACGTGGCCAAGGGGACTGTGCAGACTGGTCTGGATACCACCAAATCTGTCATCATGGGCACCAAGGACACAGTGGCCACCGGGCTCACAGGGGCCACAAATGTGGCCAAGAGCGCCGTGCAGGCTGGCGTGGCCACCAGCAAGACCGTGCTGACTGGAACGAAGGACACAGTGGCCACTGGGCTCACAGGGGCCACAAATGTGGCCAAGAGCGCCGTGCAGGCTGGGGTGGCCACCAGCAAGACCGTGCTGACCGGAACTAAGGACACAGTCAGCAGTGGGGTCACCGGTGCCATCAATGTGGCCAAGGGGACAGTGCAGACCGGCCTGGACACCACCAAGTCTATGGTCATGGGCACTAAAGACACAGTGTCCACAGGGCTCACGGGGGCCATGAACGTGGCCAAGACGGCTGTGCAGGCTGGGGTGGATACCAGCAAGACCATGCTCACTGGAACAAAAGACTCGGTCAGCAGTGGGGTCACTGGCGCCATCAATGTGGCCAAGGGCGCTGTCCAGGGTGGCCTGGACACTTCGAAAGCTGTCCTCACAGGCACAAAAGATACAGTGGCCACCGGGCTCACAGGGGCTGTGAACGTGGCCAAAGGGACAGTGCAGACCGGCCTGGACACTTCAAAGGCTGTCCTCACGGGCACCAAAAACACAGTGGCCACGGGGCTGACAGGGGCCACAAACTTGGCCAAAAGCGCCATGCAGGCTGGTGTGGACACCGGCAAGACTGTGCTGACCAGCACGAAGGACACGGTGAGCAGCGGGCTCACTGGTGCCATCAATGTGGCCAAAGGGACGGTCCAGACTGGCCTGGACACCACCAAGAGCGTGCTGACCGGCACCAAAAACACAGTGGCCCCTGGGCTCACAGGAGCTCTGAACATGGCCAAAGGGACGGTGCAGACCGGCCTGGACACTTCAAAGGCTGTCCTCACGGGCACCAAAAACACAGTGGCCACGGGGCTCACAGGGGCCATGAACGTGGCCAAGAGCGCCGTGCAGGCTGGTGTGGACACTGGCAAGACCATGCTGACCGGCACGAAGGATACAGTGTCCACCGGGCTCACGGGGGCTGTGGACGTGGCCAAGAGCACTGTACAGGCTGGTGTGGACACCAGCAAGACCTTGCTGACCGGCACGAAGGACACAGTGGCCACCGGGCTCACAGGGGCTGTGAATGTGGCCAAGGGAACAGTGCAGACCGGCCTGGACACTTCAAAAGCTGTCCTGACAGGTACCAAAAATACAGTGTCCACGGGGCTCACAGGAGCTGTGAACGTGGCCAAAGGGACAGTCCAGACGGGTCTGGACACCACCAAGTCTGTTGTCATGGGAACCAAGGACACAGTGGCCTCGGGGCTGGCGGGGGCTGTGAACGTGGCCCAGGGCACCGTTCAATCCGGCCTCCATGCAACCCAGAACGTGGCTCTGGGTGCCAAGGCCACAATCTGCAGCGGGGTCACCCAGGGCATGGAGGTGGCCAGAGGCACCGTCCAGGGTGGCCTGGACACCAGCGACGCCACGCTGGCTGGCAGCAGAGCCGTCACATCCACCCGACTCACGGAGGCAGAAGAGGTGATCACGGGCGCTGTCCACGCTGGAGCTGGTGCTGCGTGGAGTGGGGCCCCGGGCAGCCCTGACGGGGGCGGAGCCCACAGTGAGCTCATGGATGCACACCGGGTAGACATAGCGCCGGCCAGGCTGTGCCATGAGCTGCGAGGGCTGGGGGAGCTCTTCCACCCCATGAGCGCCCAGGAGCAAGGTGAGGTGGAGACGGGCAGGGCAGGGGCGGCACTGCCTGGGGTTTCCTGGAGTGAGGCTGGCTGTCTTTCTTCCAGCCCAGCTGGAGGCCTCGGAGCCGGGGCCGAAGGTGCTCTCGGCTGACCAGGCCAGCTACTTCGTGTGTCTCGGGGATCTGGCCCCCACCTTCCGCCAGCGGGCTTTCGAGCACAGCCTGAGCCACGTTCAACACAGTCAGTTCCAGGCCCGGGACGCCCTGGCCCAGCTGCAGGATGCCTTCCAGACGGTGAGGACGCTGCTGCCCCTCCCCACACCTCTGCCCATGCGCCATTCAACACACACACACACCGTACGCCTGGCAGGCCCGCCCCCCCAGAGAGGCAGGGGTGCAGAGCCAGGGATAACTAACACGCAGGCCGGCGGGGGCAGCTGGGGAGCGAATGCCAGTACAGCTGGACTCAGGACCCTGAGGCCGAATCCAACAACTTCCTGGGCACAGTGCCTGTGCATCCTGGGGCAGGGCCTCTGCAGGCAGCTGAGCAGCGTCTCAGGAGCCCCTCCCACTGCGACACCCACTCATGTCCCTCACCGTCAGCCAGGGGCACCTGAGGACTGGCTGGGCCAAGGCCCCGAGGCAGAAAGATGCTGAGAGGGTGGCAGAGGGGACAGGACAGATCCTGCCCTGGGGACTCAACCCTAGAAGCCATGCTGACGGCCGGGACTCTAGGGAGTCATGGCTGGGTTCGTGCTAGATGGTGACATCATCTTACAGACATCAAGTTGCCTGGTCGCCACTCCTAAGCCCACCTCTGGTCCCTTCCCATGAGACCCCGGGGGACGGCCCAGCCTGAGCTCCAGGCCCCATGCTCTGGGACGCACTAGTCCCTGCCAGGCACCCCCCTCCCCCTACTGACCCCCCTTCCACCCTTCCAGATGGAGGCCGAGGTGCAGGCTCCAGGAGAGCAGCAGTGTGGAGATGGGGAAGCTAGCCCCACAGCGGACCACACAGAGGTGCAGTGGCACAGTGGCCCTCTCTCCTCCCCAGCCTTCCCCCTGCCCCTCTCTCCCTCCCTCCCCTGCCCTCCCCTGCTCACCGGCTGTCTGTTCCACAGGTGCCAGGCGCCGAGGCTCTGTCCAGGGTCTGCACCCTCCTCCGCCAGCTGCACTCGGCCTACAGCGGCCTGGCCTGCGGCCTGCGGGGCCTGTCGGAGCCCCAGCGGCAGCTGGGCCGCGCCCGCCACAGCCTGTGTGAGCTCTACAGCCTGGTGTCCTCCGTGGGCTCCGCCGTGGAGCTGCCAGCCGAGCGCCTGGCCCAGAGCCGGGAGGGCATGAGCCACGCATGGCAGGGGCTGGAGGCGCAGCTGGAGGCCCTGCAGCACAGCCCCCCGCTCGGCTGGCTCGTGGGGCCCTTCGCCACGGGCCCCCGTGCGCACCAGCTGTAGGCATCTGCAGCCCCAGGCCGGTCCTGTGCACCCCCAGCCCAGCCTGCTTCCCCAGGGCCCTCGTCCCGTGCGTCCAAGCAGGGGCCCCGGGGATGGGGCTCTGTCTGCGCCTCCTGCCCCGGCTCCAGGGAGGGGTCGTGTGGCTAGGACTGGCCGCAAGGACTTCTGGGAGCTCTGGGCCCCTTCCTGTGGCCACCAGCTGTGGGGCACCTCTACACTGCGGGCAGAGGCTGACCCGGCCCCTGACCAGCGCACAGCAGGTGCGAAATGCCTTCACAGGGGACCTGACTTGAGGGAACAGGAGAACCACCCCGACCCCTGTGGGATGGAGCCGGGCCGTGCAGAGGGCTGGACGAGGTGAAGCCGAGGCCTGGCCGTCCTCCCTGGCCTGGGATCCGCGGAACGGGCAGGAACGGGCCAGCGGGGGCGGGGGGCCGCAGGGACGGAGGGAGCAGCAGGTGACGGCCATGACAGGGCCTGTGAACCCTTCCCCAGCCTTTCCTTCCCCAGCTTCATGCCACACGCAGCACAGAGGAGCGACATGAGTGCCGCCGGCTACAGCCATGGAGACACCAGGCCCAGCGCTGCGCCCCAGGCCTCCTTCCCCAGTCCACCCGCTCCCAGGGGCCTCTGGGGGACGGACGCACACCGCTCCCCACTGCCGTTAGCAAACCGAGCCAATAAAAGGGATCTCTTTTCATTAGAAAACCCTTTATAGTCATTTCATGTCGGTCAGAAATCACAGAAATTAGGCAGAAAACCCCCCGAGGGGACAGATACAAACAAACAGCACAGCGGTTCCCCCCAAGGTCTCTGCTCTGGCGGGGGTGGGGAAGGGGGCAGCAGCCGCAGCCCGAGCTCAGCTCTCCTCGTCCAGCCGCACCCTCTCGCGTTCCTGCCGCTCGCCCCCAGGCCTGTCCGGGTCGGGGCCCTCCCGCAGGCTGCTGGGGGGGGCACAATGAAAGGGGGGTGAGGACCGCTGGGCCAGCTCTAGGCCATGGGGAGCAGGGCAGGCGTGAGGGGAAGTGGGGTCCTGGCCGCTGCCTGCAGAGACCCTGAGACCCGGGGCAGACACCAGCGGATGGCCCCCAGAGCGGCCACGCACGCCGCGTGGGCCTGGCGCTGTCTGTGGGCTGGGGGGGGGGGGCGGCCGCGGGGGGGCACCCAGGGGCCCGTGGCACACTCACTCGCCCTGCAGGTCTCCAGAGCCGCACCTCGCGCCCTCCTCCGAGTCCTGCCCGTCTTCCTCCTTGTCCTCCACGCTCTCCCTCTTTTGTGATGTGGCATCGCCATTCACGGGGGCTGGGAGATCTAGGGGGCATGGAGAAGTTGGGGTCACTCCCTGACGCTCCCCGTGGCGGACCTGTGGTCGGGGCGGGCCTTGGGCGCTGAGCCTCTGCTTTGCAGATGGTCTCCCCCAAACGGCCCTCAGCATGCGCAGGCTCACGCGAGAGCCACAGGCCCCGCGAGGCTGGTCTGCAGCTACTGCGGCCACCTGGACAGAGGCAGGGTGTGACCCCGCTAGAATGTTCTAGCCCGAGAGACACAGGAGCAGGCTCCGCCACCCAGGTCCTCACCAGCAGCCTCGTCCTCAGCCTTGTCCTTGGGGGCCTCCTCCCCGCTCAGCAGCTCATCCGCCTTCTCCCTCTCGGTGCCTGTCTTGTTGGCTTTCTGGATTGCCTCAATCTTGGGCCCCAGCACCCGCGACTTGAGCCGCGTGTAGACCTCCGCCGCCTTCTCCATGACGTCCTTGTTGGCTTTGTACCGGCGAATCTGCCCACATGGCCACCGTGTCACCCCAGGGAGCCGGCTGACCCCCCCCCAAGACCCTTGCCAGTCCCCATGGCCTCCACCCCTGCAGGGCCTCTCCCCGTCTGCCTCCTGCCTTACCTTCTTCAGTGTGGCCACCACGTCGGTGTTCTTTTGCAGGATCTGGGAGGTCACTTGCAGCGTCCCCAGCTCGTCCAGTGCATTCAGACACCTCTGCACGTCCTGGAGGGGTGGGGGGGGGTAGGAGAAGGGTTGTGGCTGTACCATGGCCAGAGGCCAGCCAGGAGCCAGCATGGTAGTGTGGGGGGGGTCCCCTACACTGCAGGGGAGGCCGGGCCCTGACCCCACAGGTCCACCCAGGCCTTCGCTGATGGAGCGAGAACTCCCGGGACGCGAGGTGGCTGAGGGATCTCTTACCGGATTGTCCACCTTCAGCGCGAACTTGATCTCACTGTGCAGCTTCTGCAGCTTCTCCTCTACAGAAGGTTCTGGGCGAGAAGAGACACCACCAGACCTAAGTGGGGACTGCATGTAGGCCCCGGCCCCAGGCAGCTCAGCCCCCCTACACTCCAGGACCCCAGGGCTCTGCGGAGCCACTGCGCTCTCCTGAGAGGGAGGCGCGACCCGGCCTGGTCTGCCCCGCCCGCCCCGGCTCCTCACCTTTCTTCTTCTCCACCTTCCTGTCCAGTGGGAGCCCTTCGGACCGTTTCCGGGTTCGCTCCACTTTCCCAGGCCTGCGGAGAGGTGACCCCCACACAGGTCCCTGGTCACCTAGCCCATGTGGCTACCAGCGCCCAGGGGCACCGGGCTCCCACCCCGCAGCTGGGCCCTGGCATGGATGGAGGGCAGCCACCTGCTTCCAGGGCTGTGGGCCTGGCCGGGGGTGGTACTGACCTGGCTCTCTGCTTGTCTTCGGGCCGGCCCCTCTTCTCCTTCTGGCTGGGTTTCTTCGTGGGCTCCGAGCCCTGTGACTGGGACTTCCTCCCAGGTTTCCTTCCCTATAGCGCAGGAGCACAGGGGTCATGAGTCCAGGCCTCCACTCAGCAGAGGGGCGGCAGTGTCACAGCCCGGTCCTCTTTTCACTGCACAAACCACCCTCTCTCCTCCCTGCTTCCCCACCCCCTCCCACCTCTGTTTCAGCCACACAGGCTCCTTCACTGGTCCTCAAACAAGTCAGGCTCCATCCTGCCCCAGGGCCTTTGCACAGGCTGCTCCCCTGCCCAGAGTCCTTGTGCGCTGCCCCTCACTGTGTTCAGTTCCTTACTTAAAACACCATTACGCCTGAAGCGTTAGAGACGGACCCTTCTAAAGTGGAAATGGGGCCTGTGAGGGGGTGGAGACTGAGGTATGCGGGAGGTGAAGGCAGGTGGACTGCAGTCTAGGCCTGCCTGGGAGAAAAGGGAGAAACCTTATCCAAAAAGCAGCTAAAGCCAACAGGAGTAGGGTGTGGCCGCCGGCTCTGCAGCCTGCATGCCCGTGCCCGTTCCCACACCTCATCGGTGCTCGGTATCCCGGAAGTCCCTCATGCAGGTGTGGGATGGGGAGGGCGGCGGCCGCGGCGCAGGTCCTCCCGGGCGCCCACCTCTCGGTCCAGCTCGGCCTCGGGCTCCGAG